GCTCTCATGTGACTGTTCAATCCCACCCTAAGGGAGGGAGGGAGGGAGGCTGAGCCTGGCTGCTGGCGCAGGTCAGAGAAAGAGAGACGGGTGGGGGGATTTGCACCCCTATCCCAAGAAAAACCTTGCACCAAACAGGTCAAGGAGGGTCCGCTTCCCCCAGCATCCTGCACCCCATCACACCTTAAAGCAGCCACAGCTGGATGCTTTGGAGAGGTTTCCTCTAGAATTGGTGAGGGCAGCAGGCTTCAGGTCCCTTCAAACTCTACAATGTTGTGAGTCAGATGGTTAGACTATCCAGCTGTTTTCTGAAAACTGACGAGCAGCTGCTCTCCAGAGATTCAAGCAGGCAGTTTTTCTCCTGAATCACTCTGCTACTGAGCTATGGTTCTTCTCTAAAAAATGAAACAAGATTCCAGTCCTCATTGTCTGCTCCATCGCTGAGTGATGTGGGGGGGGGAGGTATCTTCTGCAACATGACATGGCGGGTTTATATTGGGCCATCCACACTGCCCTTTCGCTCTGTTGTTTTGCGAGGCTCCCCCAGGGTTAGCGCACTCTTGCTATTCAGAGGGGCGCTCTTGCGCAACGAAAGCAGGACAAAGCGACAGCAGCCCTGGAATACTTGCGGTATGAAAAGTTGCAGAATTTCAGCTGGAAGTTACAAGACTTCCACCGATTGGAAGTGATGCAGTCTGTCCCAAAACCTTTGCAGCCGGTGAACAAGAAGATTGAAAGCAGGATTGTGTATAATCGCCACCAAACCATCATGAACACTAATCGTCATGTACGAGAGCCTTCTGGAAGCTCAGAAAGAGGAATGGATGTGACACTGACATCCCTTGCTGTTTGTCCACACAGCAGTTTGGCATTCAAAGGTAGACTACCTCCGGAGTTGGAGGTTCCATCAGGCGCTCTGCTGAGCTAAAAGTTGGCAGGGTAGATTTCTCATACGCTCCTCCTCCTCCTCCTTGGGAAGAGCCACGGAAGTCCAAGGGGCCATCACACCCGGCCCATATTTTGTGGCCAATGTTAATAATGCAATTTTATAATATTGTTGCAACCCGCCCTGGGTCCTTACGGTGATAGCTGGGCGAGAGATCAGAATCTGAGAGAAGGGTGTCTTGGGAGCTCTGGCAATGATGCGTGCACCAGTGTGGCGTAATGGTTAGAAGAGGCATAGGCAAACTCGGCCCTCCAGATGTTTTGGGACTACAATTCCCATCATCCCTGACCACTGGTCCTGTTAGCTAGGGATGATGGGAGTTGTGGTCCCAAAACATCTGGAGGGCGGAGTTTGCCTATGCCTGGGTTAGAGTGTCAGACTATAGGCCCTGGCAGAGCAGGGTTCAAATCCCCACACAGCCATGAATCTCACTGGGTTACCTTGGGCCAGTCACCATCTCTAACCTACTTCACAGGGTTGTTGTGAGGATGAAATGGGGATGAGATGAACCATGTACATCACCTTGGGATCTTCAGAAGATAACAGTGATATTATATAAATAAATGAATAAATATTTTAGGTGGTCGATGCTGTGACTTGCAGTTTGTTCTACTCCAGAATATGTAAAATAAATAAATACACAGGGTTGGAGGGCATGCTCTGTCCAGTGTTGGCAAGGTCTCATGCAGACTTTGCCAACCTGGTGCCCTCCAGGGTTTTGGATGGCAACTCCCATCAGCCCCTCCAACTAGCAGAACCAATTGTCCCCCCTGTAGTCTAACAACTCCCTGTTGTTACCTTCCCTAGCACCTATATTTTACAGCAAACTTTGCCAGCCTGGTCCATTTCCCCCCATGTTTTGGACTGAGTTGTATTTGAAAACACTGGGAGGGCACTAGTTTGGCAAACTTCCCTTCAAATGTGAACTATCAAACTAAACCACAGCCTTTACCTAACTCTCCTAGAGAGTCTTTACCAGAAGAGGGAACCCAGGAACACAGAAAGCTGCCTTCTGCTGTGCCATACCATTGGTACATCTAGCTCAGCATTGTCTACACTGACTGGCAGCAGCTCTCCAGGGTTTCAGGCATAGAGTCTCTGTCAGGCACACTTGGGGATTGAACCAGGGACCTTCTGCATGCCAAGCAGATGCTCTTGACCACTTGGCTACGGCTCGTCCTCCATGAAGCAGACTTCCTAAGCAGACTTAAAACCCCGGTACCTCTTAGTTCACCAATTAAGACATAGATTACACTGCTTTGCTTGCTAAAGGAATCCAGCAACCGGGGAAATGTCTGGATTAGCCATGGGGTAGATGGGGAGGGGGAGATGTGCTGGGTCAGAATGGGAGGGGCATGAATTCCACCCAGATTAGAGGGGGCCAATGCCTCTTCCTATCATTGCAAGACTTTTCGTGCCTGAATTCCTTCAGCTTTCCACATTTCCCCTCCTCCAATATATGTTAGAAGTAGCTCTGGCATGCCACACAACAGGGATGTGCAAAGGCCATATTATCTCCTGGAATAAGTGAAGTTGGCTATAACCCTGTCCCCCGCTGCAAAAACCTGGGTCATTTATGGGCAATTTCTGTTGGGAAACTAGGTGCTTCCTGAACCAGCCAGCAGGGGGTGGTAGCTGTATAACACACACCCCTGCAGAGATACTGCATGTGAATCTATGTGCAAGTACACATGTGTGCACATGCAAGAGGCACACTTCTATTTCATTACTTTGGTTTTGGATGTTTATGTCCTAACGTCCTAAGTGTCACTAACTTAACACCCTGCCTGCGAGATTTGCACCGGCTGCCAGTTTGCTGCCGGGTCAAGTTCAATGTGTTGGTACTAACATACAAGACCATATACAGGTCAGGGTCAGGTTAGATGCACTCAGTAGATCCCTGTGATCTGCGGGGGAGTTTCTCCTGCAAGTTCCAAAGATCTGGGAAGCCTACTTCACAGTAGCTCAGAGCAGGGCTTCTAGGACGGCTGCCTGTTGAGAAACAACAGGCAACCTTCGGAAATAACGGAAGTAATTATTGTTCCAGCAGGTTTTCTCAGCTGGAAAAATGGGTCTTGACCACAAGCATCTATTTTATAGTGTTTTGCTTTAAGCACATGGGCAGGTTTAAATTTTTTTAAAACCTGCTCGCTGATTTCATTGTACATTGCCTGGTGACGACTGTGTGGAAGGCAATGAATAAAATAATAATCATAACGAATGCTTTGCCATTACCCAACTTTGTAAGCTCCCACATGCCGCATCCTTTGCGTGAGCATGTGCACGCACAGGCCCTCCCAGGTGCTGGGGACATACATGTACAAACGCATGGGCACGCTCCAGCAGTTGAGGGCTGCTCCTTTATCCCCCTGTCGCCTCCCTCCTGAGAGCAGGAAGCTTTGTAGTTCAGGCCCCTGCGCACAATGAGATTAAACCAGCATTTCACACATAGTTCCCCTTGCAAGCCGTGGTCTTGCTAATCCTCCTGCACGTCACTCTGAGCTACCTCCAAAGGTTCATTTTCTCCTATGCTCCCCCCCCCTCTATTTGCTGGAAATAACAGGCTCCAAAGGAGGCAAGGGGGCACAACCTTCCTTTCAATACTTGAGTTTCCCTCTACACAGTCCCTGGCTGAATACACACCACAGATGTTAAGCACATGGTTAAAGGTAAAGGTAAAGGTACTCCTGCCCGTACGGGCCAGTCTTGCCAGACACTAGGGTTGTGCGCTCATCTCACTCTAGAGGCCGGGAGCCAGCGCTGTCCGCAGACACTTCCGGGTCACATGGCCAGCGTGACAAGCTGCATCTGGCGAGCCAGCGCAGCACACGGAACGCCGTTTACCTTCCCGCTAGTAAGCGGTCCCTATTTCAGTGTTTCCCAACCGGTGTTCCGCGGCACACTAGTGTGCCGTGAGACACCGGCTGGTGTGCCGTGGGAGGGAGGCGGGCGAGTCGGGCGGCGAGAGGCGGGGCGGCGGCGGCGAGCACACGCGGGGCGGCGAGCGAGCGAGCTCCCACATCCCATCGCCGCTCGCTTCGGCCGGCCTACTGGAGGAAGGCGCGAAAACCCGGCGGGCTTTTGGGTGGGCGCCAAGCAAGAAAGGCGGGAAGGCTCTGGTCCCTCCCCTCCCGGCGGGGCTCCCGCACGCACCTTTCTGCGCCGCCGCGTCCCGCCTGAGCAGCAACAGGAGGAGGAGGAGGGAGGCCAGCGCCGGCCGGGTCCCCCGGGGGAGCGGGCGCTCCGGGCTGCTCACCATACCCCGCGTCTCGGGCGCAGCAGCCGGCAGTCCGAATGCATCCCGAGCCGCGCTGCTCTCGCCTTGCCTCCTTCTTCGCGCCTCCTCCCGGCTCGCGCGCCGTCCCTGCGCGGATCCGTCCAGCCTCCGGCCGCCGCCGCCGCCCCCTCCTCTTCCTCTCCTTCCCCCACCCACCAACCCGCACGGCGCGCTCCCACCGCCCCCGATGGGCGCAACCACTTCCGGGTCCGCTGCAGCCGCCCCTTCCCCGCCTCCGGCAGCCGAAAGTCCCCCAGCGGAGCCCGTCTGGCCGCTCCCCCCGCTCCCTGCCCACCTCCCGGTGTTGAGGCGCCCTCTTTCATTGCTTCGCGGGGAGGGAAAAAACTTTGACTTTTGTGCGTCCCTCCCGGCGTGACGCTGCGCGCTGACGTCACGGGGCGGGGCTTTAATGGTGGTGTGCCGCGAGATTTTTTTCCGGTAAACAGGTGTGCCGTTGCCCAAAAACGTTTGGGAAACACTGCCCTATTTATCTACTTGCACCCGGAGGTGCTTTCGAACTGCTAGGTTGGCAGGCGCTGGGACCGAACGACGGGAGCGCACCCCGCCGTGGGGATTCGAACCGCCGACCTGACGATCAGCAAGTCCTAGGTGCTGAGGTTTTACCCACAGCGCCACCCGCGTCCCAAGCACATGGTCCCCCCCCCAAATCCCGGGAACTGTTGCTTACCCCTCACAGAACTACATTTCCCACCATCCATAAGACACTATGGTTCCCAGAATTCTTTGAGGAAAGGCAAGTGCTTTAAATACATGGTGTCTGCGCAGCCCCTCTTTATTGTGCCCCTGGCACAAAACATTGAAAGCCATTGAGGCATTAAGCCCAGAGAAGGCTGCCTGTGGTATCTCTGCATGAGTCACTGGTCTAGGCCTTCTGTCAATCAGCTGCTGCCCAAGGCGGGGTAATATTGCCATGCCTTTACACTGAGGGCAACTGGATTGCTTCCACTGTGGAAATGCAGAATTACTAGCCTTCAGAAGAAGCTACCCATTTCATCTCTGAGTGAGTAACTGCCCTAAGCGATTTCCTTCCAAGCACACTCAGAACAGTGACTATCCAGGAAAAAGAGGGTAGATGTTCTGAGGTCCCATCTCGATTATGCGTTTAAACAACCATGGCTTCCCCCAAAGGCCTGTAGTTTTTCTCAAGGGTGCCAAGATCCATCTTCCACCTTCACAGAGCTTTAATATTTAGAGAGGTTTAACAGCCAATCCCTCTTCCCAAGGAACTCTGGGGAATAGGGCTCTCCTTACCTTGCCTTTGCAAACAACAATTCATAAGATTTTTTGGGGGGAAAGCTCTGACTGTTTAAAGTGGCATGATAGTGATTTAAACATATAGTGAAGATGGGACCTGGGTGTGGGCGGGTGTTTAATTCTTGCTCTTACAAACCTCTCATGTTTGGAAAATGCTGCTTCAGACAACACACAGCAGCAAAGCGAGAGGAATGAGTGGCGTGCTGTTTGGTTACCTGTTTGGTTATCTGTGCTACCCACATCAAGACTGCAAGTTTCCACTTTCCAGGATGGGCTACAACACTGAGTTGGAGGATGAGGGAAAAGCTGTGTGTCCCCCTTCCATATTTGAGGTGTCACAGGCTGCTGGAGCCTGAAGCCCACAGGGCTGAGGAATAGATTGGGCCAGTTCCAAGCGCTGAAACATTCAGCAGCCAGCTTGGGAAGACACCCTAGACCTGAGGTGGGAAATATTTTTCAAACTGAGGGCCGCATTCCCTTCTGTGCCACACTCTTGGGGCCGCATGCCAGTGGTGGGTGGGCCCAGAGGCAAAAGTGGGTGGAGCGAACCATGCAAATTTTACCTTTGTACAGTAGACTAGTTTCTACACACACTCACACAGCCCTCTCTGTCTTCCCATCCAGGCAAGTATTTGCTAATCCTCCTGCACGTCACTCTGAGCTACCTCCAAAGGTTCATTTTCTCCTATGCTCCCCCCCCACCCTCTATTTGCTGGAAATAACAGGCTCCAAAGGAGGCAAGGGGGCACAACCTTCCTTTCAATACTTGAGTTTCCCTCTACACAGTCCCTGGCTGAATACACACCACAGATTTTAAGCACATGGTTAAAGGTAAAGGTAAAGGTACCCCTGCCCGTACGGGCCAGTCTTGCCAGACTCTAGGGTTGTGCGCTCATCTCACTCTATAGGCCAGGAGCCAGCGCTGTCCAGGCAAGTACTGTCAAAGTTCGGGGAAGCATCCCAGCCAGGCAGAAAGAAGGATGTGAAGAAGGACCAGTGAGGAATATGGCCTGAGGAAGTGGGGTGTGCTGTGGGGACAGTCCTGAGGGCCAGGCATTTGGCCCCCACACCTGAGCTGCCCCACCCCTGCCAAAGACCAAGAGTCGGCAATGCAGGCTGTTGCCAATCCTGGCCCCTAGGCCTTGCTTCCAGTCAAACTCCTGGGTGGAGAAACATAGAAAGCTGCCTTAAGCCAAGCCAGACCATCGGCTCCATCTAAGCTCAGTAATGTCTGCACCTGTCCAGGGTTTCAAGGCAGGGGGTCTCTCCCAGTCCTACCTGGAGAGGCCATAACAGGCTGGCGTGGAGGAAGGGCGGAGGGTGTATTTCTGTGTGGCAAGAGAGGTAGGCCAAGGAAAACAACAACAGAAGCCCAGTTTTCACTGTACAGCGATGTTTCTATTAGGAAGGAGGACAAGTGGAGAAATGGGTGGTGGAGGCTCAGAAATGCCTCTTCCTCAGCCCCGGCAGCTGGCCACAACCAAAGGCAGGGAACCCAAGCTTGAGGATTTCAGGTCCAACTCAGTTTTTCTTTTCATTTGGCAGTGGAGATGGGGGGAGCCGTTTCCCTCCCAGAGTCCAAGGCTCCTGCCGGAACCTGCTTGGAGATAGCGCTGTTTCGCTGGGCGAATTCGGCATGCTTCTGCCGCAGTAGCTCCTGCTGCTTCTGGAAGCCGATGGACCTGGGGGTGGGGGAAGCACAAGCACTGCGGGTGAGAACCAACTAGACTTCCTCCAGGCAAGCAAGCAAGCTCAGTGTTGCAGAGTGCTAAAACAGGCAAAGACACCTTTGTCAGCCCAAGGGGCACAATGACATTGCGGGAACCTTCCAAGGAGCCAGTGATGGTCAAAAGAGGGCAGAGCAATGGATGGGATTCTCACCCATGCACAGGAAGCGCCATTGCAGCCATGTAGAAATCAGTGGTACACACACAGAAAGAAGACACACACACACACACAACAACACAGAGAGAGAGAGAGAGAGAGAGAGAGAGAGAGAGAGAGCGCTCTCCATCCAGGCAAGCAAGAAGCATCATCAGAGTTCAAGGGCACATTCCAGCCAGGCAAAAGCATTCAAGGAGGGTGAAAAGCAGGAACAATGAGAGACACGGCCTAGGGAGGAGGTGTGGCCTGGAGAGACTTCCGAGGGCCAGACAGAGGGGCCTGGAGGGCCACATTTGCAGCTTGGGCCTAAGATTCCCCACCCCTACAGTAAATCAAGAGCCTACTCAAAAGCGCTGCAAACCTTAGTACTGTGTCCCACATAAGCAGACGTTGCACTGCAATGAATTCTTATCCCAGTTTCAATGGTACCAACTTCTTAAGTGCAGCTTTATTATGTGCTGGGTAGGGACTTATAGTTTTGTTGCTTCTAGTTTAACTATTTATTTGTGCTTTTATCTTGTATTTTTATCTTACGAATCGCCCTGAGATATTTTGATGAAGGGTGGTTTGTTTGTTTGTTTGTTTGTTTGTGTATCACATTTGTTAGTCATTTTAGCTTGCCCAAGCCAAACCACAGTGACTTACAACAGACTAAACCAACAGCCCCACATTAAAACCAAGGATGGGTGCGAAATACAGTATCTGGGTTTACAGTTAATGTTAATTTGTCTGCCTGCTAATTGTTCGCTTACCCCGCACTTTCCAGTGCATCTCCCCGTAACTATTGTAACTGAAAGAAGTTGGCATTTGTTGTTATTTTTTGAAGTAGATTTGTTGCGCTAGGATGACAGAGCCCTTTAATCCGCTTTAAATGCCCAAACCTTAAGTTCTGATAAGCGCATGAATCCCTTGTGCAAAAGACAGACGATCTGGAGACATCCTAAGCGAGAATCCCAGGATACCTTGGGAGAAGAAGCCACTGTCCCTTCCAGACTGTTTTACAGGAAGGATTCAACTGCGTACTGGAAATTTAGGTTTGCACAATTAAAGGAGATTAAACAGCTCTGGTGCAACGAATCCACGTTAAAAACAACAGGCAGACCTTTTTGAAGTTAGGAAAACAATGGGGAAATGTACTAAGGAGTGTGGGATAAAGGACTGACTAGTGGAAAGACATGCAACCACCACGCAAGAAAATCAGAGTGGAATGACAATGAGTGCTTGTTATTATATAACCTCCCTGCAAAGAAATCAGAACAAATTAAAAATAAGGTACTGGGTGCAGAAATCCACATCTCAAAGATCTCAGCTTTCAATTTATTTATTTACTTTTAAAAGGCAAGTTTCTAGTCCTCATAGCCTCATGGGTTTCAGCTGTTCGGGGGTGGCAATTGCCCAGTAAAGTCACTTAAAAAAATAAGAAGGAAAAAGACTTTCAGTGGTCACACCATACATTTAAAGCACACTTATACCACTTTAATGGGCTTCCGCCAAAGGATCCTGGGAACTGTGGTTTGTTAACGGTGCAGTACAATTTTCAGCACCCTTAATGAAGTACAGTTCCCTGGATTCTCCATAACTGCTGAAATGGTATAATAGTGCTTTAAATGCACAATGTGGGTTCTGTGCTACCCACAGCTTTGACTGTACTTACAAAACTTAAATATAAATTATGGAAATTAAGGAAAATACAGTCATGTTGTAGAAAGAATACAGTTCACACTGAGGGTCATTTATGTGGGGTTAAAAAAAATGAGAATATATGTACCTAGCCCGTTCCTTGCTCTCATTATATATCTGGGTTATGACCCGGTCCTTCTCATCCATGAAGTTGTTGTGAACTTTCTCCAGCTTCCTGCAAAAAAGGAAGAGAAAAAAGGTGTTTGGGTAGAGGTTAGAAGTGGAACAGAAGCAGTAAAGCATCACTGGTTAGCGTTGGTAATGCATTTAACAGAAACTAAGCAAGCTGAACTGCAGCAGAATGGAAACAGCGCTGATTGCGAAGGACCCAGGGAGGGACAGAAATCATTGTGCCCCCTTATAGCCCTAGCTCAAGACAGAGGCATTCCCTGGGGTGGGAGTGCAGGGAGACGAGAGATGGCGTAAATATCCTGTTCCCTTGGAGGTGGGGGAAGCAGTCAGATATATTTTCTTGCCCTGGTCCATGTCTTTTTTTTACAACTGGGGTGGGAGGGATTGGGGAGACAGATGTGGAAGAGGATGAGATGAACTCTTTGGGTTCGGAATTCCAAGTGGACAATGAGGTCCATCTAGCTCAGTGTTGTCTACACTGAATGGCAGCAGATCTCCAAGGTTTCAGGCAGGGATCTCTCCCAACCCCACCTGGAGATGGCATCAGGGATTGACCCTGGCACCTTCTGCATGCTAAGCAGTTGCCCTGTCAACAAACAACAGCCCCCCCCAAATGTTCCCTGCATTCTATGTTTCAGTTGCACACAAATGCTGTTGGTTCTGGATGTTTCCTTCCATTTGGCAGACTGCCTTTCCCTCTCCCTGATTGTCTGACAACATTATATTCACAGCATGTCAAAGAGACGGCTACTGCTTATTCCACTAGCGCCTCACCTCCTGAAACAACGGCAGGGGTGTCACGCTTCTGATAAATACAAGTCCTATCGATGCGCAGGGAAGAAGAGCTAATGAAGGACTCAACCCACCCACCCTTTTTCCAGCTTCCCAAATTTCCATGAGAAAATGTCTTGCCACTTAATAGCCTTTTTGTGTGTTTACCTGGGCTCCGCAAAACTGGGGTTGTGTGTGTGTGTAAGGCAGGGAAGGTGGCAGAATTTGCTATGAGCAAACTGAACTGGCCCACAGTCTGCTTGTCTGCTCTTTGCAAGCCAACCTTCCTTGCAGATTTCCCCTAATACTGTTTTGCTTTTAGCATTTTTCTAATATGACAACATTTGTTCCCACACAATTTATGGCTCGTCCAGACCCCACCCCCTTCCCACTTTCCACCAGGGAAAACCTGCTATTTATCACAGAACTGGAGCAAACAACAATTGGGTTTTCTGTAAGTGGGCATTTGCTCCAATTCAGTAGTAGAGCGGGTTTTCCCAGGCAAAAAGCTCTCAGACCAGTGCTTCCTAGGCATGGGACAAACACAAGTGTGGACACCATCATCAAATTTGTCCTCAACTGTCTGCTAACTTGGTATTGCAGAAATGTGTATTTATTTTAACATCACCGGTTGAAGTGTTGACATGATTATGTTAGCCATTAACCACCATTAAAATTCATTGTTTTATCGCTAACCTTTCTCTCGCCTTTTGCCCCTGTGGCTTAGCCAAATGCACAGAGAAAGTGCAGCCACTGTCTTACATCTTAATGCGAATTCATGACATCTGTTGATGCAACCCAAAATGGGCTTTGTGTGTATTTTGTGAGAGTTCAAGGGCAAGTCTGATGCACATATTTTTTTCTAACAACGTCATAGTAATGGGTTAATTTTCCTATCATCTTGTTTATACTTATTAATCCATGCAAAAGGACAATTTGCAGTTTTTGTTCTTTTTCCCCCCTGGGCAAAGTGCGTGGGGGGGGGTGTTGAGGGGGAATTATCAGCACTCCCTGAGAGTTATGCCTTGGCCCTTGACCAATATGAACTGGGCTTTTGGGGGTGTGGTGAGTCACTCATTTGCTTGGCAATATACGTGAAAATGCTAGCTGGCTGACAAGAAAATAAATGGCAAAGAGCTGTAACTCCAGTGAGTGGCTGGGTGTGGGGAAGAGATCCATCACCGCCTCATCATCCTCACTTGAACAGACAGTAACCCTGCAGCAAGATGCACACTTCAATGAGCAATCATCGGCTCATTGAGTTTTCAGTCAGCTCTGAAATCGTCATAAAAAAGTTGAACACCAACACTATTTCCGAAAAGCTGAAGGACCGGATCAGGAACAGTTAAAAATAGCGAAGCGAGAACTGAAACGAAACGGTACGGGTGACGAGTCCGTCGAATTGGATTAGATCCCGAGTGTAGAGTGTTTAGCTTCTTGAGCAGGCAGACGGCATTGCCCGTCCCAGAATCCTTTGCAAACGCCGCCTTTCGTTCTTAGCCAGCAAAATAAAGTGAAAGGAATGTTTGTGGACTGACTGACAAGTGCATCCCTCAGTTCCCAAGTCTTTATCTGTGGGGAGATTGCTCAAAGGTTCTGGAAGCGGGATTAAAAAGCAGGCTGGCAACTGCCTGAGGAAAATGCCTGCCGAAATCTATCCATGGGTGGCCTCTACTGGGCATTTTTTGGTGGGGCAGGGTTGTGTCTTAAGCTCCACCAGTTTCGAGAACTGAAGGTGCCCTCCCTTGACAACCTGGGAAGAAGCAGGAAGTGGCAAAGCCGAGGCTCCCTCGCCCAGCACTGTTCATACTGGGTGCGTATCTCCTCCTCTACCACCAGCACCCCAAACATGTTAACTGCTCTGCATAAAGATCCTCTGAGCGCCGCACAATACTGCTGCATGAATGAAAAGTGAGTGGGTGCATTATTTTATGAATGAAGAAGAACGTAAGAAGAGCCCTTATGGATCAGGGCAAAGGCCCATCTAGTCTAGCTGCCTGTTCTCACAGTGGCCAATCAGATGCTTCTGGCATGTGGCGGCTCTCCAAGATGGGGTCTCCCCCAGCCCTACCCGGAGATGGAACCAGGGGCCTTCTACATGTAAATCAGATGCTCTGCCCCCCACCCCCTGAGCCACAGCCCTTCCACAAACTCGGGAAAATGAGAAGCGCGGAAGGAGAGGCAGTTGATGGCAAGACGCCCTGCAAAAGCGGGAGAGGGGCATTCTGTCCCCTGTTGCTCTTCTCCCCACATGGGTGTGGAATTTGATTCACCCATGTGCCCTGCCCCCCCCTTTTCAGGCCCCTTTAAATGCCCCTCCCCGTTCAAGCATAAGCAGGCATGTTTAATTGCATTAGGCTTGATTAAAGGCTGCTCACGATTAATCTCTCCCTGGTCATGGCCGGCTAATTAGGCAATGGATTAGAATTAGAATTGGCTGGCTGGCTGGCAGCCGGGGTTGGCAGGCTGCATTGCTGGGAGGGGGGTGGCGAAGCAAGCCAGGGAAGAAAGAAAGGGAAAGAACCAGCCCGGCACCAGCAACTGCACAAGGGTCCGCCGTACCGCCAAGACAGGCCAAAAGGACGCAAAGGCAGTTGTCTCCAGAACCATGAGGGCTTGCATCCCTTTCTGGGTTCAAAAGGAGGGACTTCCCCTACATGAAATATGTGTGAACCAACACCAGTTTCTGCTAAAGAGCCCATGGCCTACAGGTGTCTGATGTGGGCTCCTTCTATCTGCCATGCATGTTGCAATTACCCACGAAGCTCCCTTATAAAAGGACGTACAGGCAACTCCCCTATTTACCTGCGTTCAAGGCACAAGCGACCTCACACATCGCTGTGAAGCCGGAAGTGGCATGAAAAGGGTCAAAAACGGCCTCAAAATAGTACAGAAACAGCAAAAATTGCACACAAACAGCATCTAAGAATCCCACGAACCTTTGCAAGTGCAATCCCAGGAGCCCTTGCACCTACCTTTGGAGCCTTTGGAGAGCTGGAGTTTGAGCAAGGAGGTTTGGAGGGAGCGGTTTTGGTGAAGTTTGGTGGGGTTTGTTTTTTAAAAGGTTTTTCAAGGGCTTCCAGAGGTTTAGAGCATAGGTAGGCAAACTAAGGCTGGACTTGGCCTAATCGCCTTCTAAATCTGGCCCACGGACGGTCCAGGAATCAGCATGTTTTTACATGAGTAGAATGTGTCCTTTTATTTAAAATGCATCTCTGGGTTATTTGTGGGGCATAGGAATTCATTCATTTCCCCACCCCCAAAAAATATAATCCGGTCCCCCACAAGGTCTGAGGGACAGTGGAATGGCCCTCTGCTGAAAAAGTTTGCTGACCCCTGGTTTAGAGGGTGTTCACAGGCTTTTCTCAATGGTGTTCCCAATACAGTATACACATTTTCACTTAAATGTGCACGTATCCCCCCCACAGAAACAGGAAGTTGCCCGTACTTTTTCATGCAGCACGTAGTTAAACTCACTTGCATAGGAGACAGAGAAGGCCACCAACCTAGATGGCTTTAAAAGTGGATTACAGTGGTACCTCGGGTTACATACGCTTCAGGTTACAGACTCCGCTAACCCAGAAATAGTACCTCGTGTTAAGAACTTTGCTTCAGGATGAGAATAGAAATCGTGCTCCGGCAGCGCGGCGGCAGCGGGAAGCCCCATTAGCTAAAGTGGTGCTTCAGGTTAAGAACAGTTTCAGGTTAAGAACGGACCTCCGGAACGAATTAAGTACTTAACCCGAGGTACCACTGTAAATAAATTCATGGAGGAAGAGAGCTATGAAAGGCTACTAGCCACGATGGCTAAGCTCTGCCTCCACAGCTGGAGGCAGCCATGCTTCTGAATACCAGCCGCTGGAAGCCACAGGAGGGGAGAGGGCTCTTTTGCCCGAATCCTGCTTGCGGGTTCCCCACAGGCATCTGGTGAGAACAGGATGCAGGATGAGATGGGCCACTGACCTGCTCCAGCAGGCTCTTAGCTCATTATTGCCTCCACCAACTGGCAGTGGCCCTGCAGGGGTCCAGCAAGAGATTCTCTCCCAGCCCTATGCTGCTGGGGATGGAACCCGGGACCTTCTTCATGCAAAGCAACAATGGCTTCAGCTATGATGGGGCTGATGTCAGCATTTGGAGGGCATTGGGTTGGCAAAGGGAATTCATGGAGATAAGACAGCTGTGATCACTAAGTGGAACCTCCATGAGCAGGGGCAGTATACGTACCTCTAAACAACAGCTGGGCTATGAAGAAACTAGGAAAGGGGAAATCTTGCTTTTGCGTCCTGATTGTGGGCTTTCCCTAAGCACCCAGGTTGGAAAGAGGTCGGTGGAATAGTTTGGCTTGATCTAGCAGGGCTCTTTCTGTGTTCTTATTCTCTCCATGTTGCATGTTGGGGGCTTAAGGCCGCCTGGAGAGTTCATGGCTGGGGCGAAATTTGAACCAAGGATTTCCTGATGTGTAGCTCAAGTGTCTTAGCTACTAAATGGGAAGGATCATCGCTCTGTGGCAGAGGGAGGGACACCTCCTGCCTGCAGAAGGTCTCAGGTTCACTCACCAGCCCCTCCGACGAAAAGGATTTCAAGCAGCAGGCGAAGGGAAAGGCCCATCTCTGCCCGAGACCCTGCCGGTCAGAGAAGGCAATACTAGGGAGGATGGGCAAATGGCCCAACCTAGGAGAAGGCAGCTTATAATGTTCCAGTGTTCCTGCTTTGCATCCATAATCCCAAATGCTGCCTTGAGCTCCTTAGAGAAAAAGGTGGGATATAAATGCAAAATAAATAATGATCAGCAAAGCACTGCACTGGGTTGGACTAGATGACCCTTGGGGTTCCCTTCAACTCTACAATTCTACGATTCACACACACCCCACCAAAGAAGGGAGAGGAGCTGGCTCCCAGTCTCAAGGAACAGGAGTGGCTTGCAAATCGCACAACCTCCTCAGAGCTTTTGGGGCTGCCCGCTTTCCCACGCAGCTTGTCTTCATGATGGTAAAGCAGGGTGGTGTGGGCAGGATACCTTTGGAGGCGGTCCAGGGGTGAGGAGGCAGCAGGGCGTGCTGCAAAAGAGGATTCCCAATGCCCTACTTAGATCTTTGCCCCTGCATTGGCTCAGCAAACTATGTGGAAGAAACAAACGCGGCTAAATCTGTGTGATGCATTGTCAAGCTTCACCAGGGCAGCGATGGGGAAGCTCTTATAGCCCGATGGCAGCCTTCCCTTCTGGGTAACCTTTGGGAGGGGGCGGGGAGAGGGGCAAAAGTGGGTGGAGCCAAGGATCCAAATTTTTACCTTAGTATGGTAGGCTGGTTTCTACACCCACACTCACACACCCCTCTCTCTCCTTCCTCCAGGCCAGCAGAAGGCGTTATCAGAGTTCAAGGACACATCCCAGCCAGGCAAAAACACTCAAGGAGAGTGTGGAGCAGGGCTGGTGAGGGGCGTGGCCTGCTGAGAGTTCTGAGGGCCAGATACAGAGGCCTAGAGGGCCACTTTCAATCCCCTGAGTTTCCCCACCCCAGAACTTTAAATCTGGAGCCTTCTCATCTGGTTTGGGGTGGTGGGCAGGGACGTGGGGAAAGGAAGCAGCCCCATACCTGAATCCTATGTAGTGGGCAGCTAAGCCGCCCACTATGACGAGCAAACAGTACCCAAAGATGTATCTGTTCTGGCGACGCTTCCTCTCGTACTCGGGGCCTGAGAATGACTCTGAAGGAGAGTGGTGGAACTGTTGCCAATACCGTACGTCCTCGTTGGGCTCTGATGCGCTCCTGCAGGGAAAAGCAGAAAGTCAGCACAGGGCTGGCACAGAGACTGCTGCATTCTGGTTGGCTGGCTGCTTACAGAACTGGGCAGGTGCAAGATTTTTTGGTGCCCTCTCCAGTTGGGGGGCGAGCAGGGGGCTGTAGAGCCTGAAGGAGGAAGTTCTGGCCTTCCAGATGGGGTTGGCCTCCATCTCCCATCAGCCCCCAGCCAGCATGGCCAGTGGCAAGAGATGATGGGCAGCTGTAGCCCAAATACACCTGGCAGCCCAAGCTTGAAGAGCCCTGGCTAGTGGTGCGATGGAATTGCTTAAGGCAGAGGACAAAGAAGGATGGCGATCAATAATAATAATAATAATAATAATAATAATAATTTATTTATATCCCGCCCTCCCCAGCCGAAGCCGGGCTCAGGGCGGCTAACAACAATAACACAGTACAAAAGCACAGCACAAACAACACTCTAAAATCATTCATTATAAAATTAATTCAATGGCTACTAGCCAACAGCAGGGTTGCCTCTGAGCGCCATTTGCCAGGGATCACAAGCGAGGAGTGCATTCAGGTCCTGCTTGTGAGCTTCCCATGTGGTCAGCCCCTGCCAGAACAGGATGCTGAACCAGATGAGCCATTGGCCTGACCCGCCAGATGGGCGGGGTATGAACAATAAAATTATCATCCTCATGATTATTATGATTATTACTGCATACCCTCCAACCTTCCTTCGGATGCGTCTTTCTGTACCAAGCTCTCAAAGGAGCCGGCTGACTCGCACAATAGTACAGCACCTCTGCAAGTGTCGGCTCATCCTCCTCCATGAGCTCAGTGCTGGAGGGAGAAAACAGGACATTCTGGGATTCAAACCAGAAGCTGGGATGGCTTCTGCAATTCCAGGATGTCTGGGGGAAATCGGGACACTTCAGGGTACGGTGGGAATCGCAAGTGTGATTTTATATGGTGACCTGCCCTGAGATCTGTGGATGAAGGGCAGTATAGAAATTTAATAAATGATAATAATAATATTGATTGGGACGCGGGTGGGGCTGTGGGTTAAACCACAGAGCCTAGGACTTGCCGATCAGAAGGTCGGTGGTTCGAATCCCCGCGATGGGGTGAGCTCCCGTTGCTCGGTCCCTGCTCCTTAGTCATGCTGGCCACATGACCCAGAAGCTGTACGCCAGCTCCCTTGGCCAATAAAGCGAGATGAGCGCCGCAATCCCAGAGTCGGACACGACTGGACCTAATGGTCAGGGGTCCCTTTACCTTTACCTTAATAATAAGTGGGGAGAGTTGCTGTTGTGCTCAGGTCCTCCTTATCAGGTTCCCATAACAGGCACAAGGAGGTGAGAACAAGATGACGGACTGGATCTTTTACCCTTATGCCTGGTAGTCAGGAGCTGTTGGCGTGAAGCTCGCAGGACAGGGAGCTTTGTTCCCAGAGGTGGGGGGCATCTCTCGTTCCGTACCTTTTCCCGAAGTCGCCCAAATCAAAAGGCTTCCTCCTGGCGCTACTGCTGGTGCTACTGCCATGGCTGCCTGGGGGAGGCCGAGCTTCTTGGGCTGCTTGTGTGCTATCGTAGCGCCTCCGGCTGCTGGCCTTGCTGAGCACCCGGTAGGCCTCGTTGAGCTTCACAAACTGGCTGTGCAGCTCAGGGTTGCCTGGGTCGCTGTCAGGGTGGAGCTGTGGAGAGGAGAGGAGCTCAGCTGGTTAGAGCGCAGTGCTGATGACGCCAAGGTGGCAGGTTCGATCCCTGCATGGGACAGCGGCATATTCCTGCAACGCAGGGGGATGGACTAGGTGAACCTCAGGGTCCCTTCCAACCCTATGAGAAAAGGCTGGCCTCATACGCGCCCCTCCTGCACTCCCCCCATCCCAAAGATTTCCCAAAGAGGATTTGCTGCAGCTTCTGCTTCTCTGGCGACTCACAGGTCATGGTGGAGAGCTGACTTAAAGCACTGAGCCAACTGGCTTAATATTCATTATTATTACTATTCGCATTTATAAAGGTAAAGGTACCCCTGCCCGACAGGGCCAGTCGTGACCGAACTCTAGGGTTGCGCACTCATCTCGCTCAAGAGGCCGGGAGCCGGCGCTGTCCGAAGACACTTCCGGGTCACGTGGCCAGCGTGACGTAGTTGCATCTGGCAAGCCAGCACCAGCTGGAAACACTGTTTACCTTCCCTGCTATAATGCGGTCCCTATTTATCTACTTGCACTTAGGGCTGCTATCGAACTGCTAGGTTGGCAGGAGCTGGGACCGAACAACGGGAGCTCACCCCGCCGCGGGGATTCGAACCACCGACCTTACGATCAGCAAGTCCTAGGCACTGAGGTTTTACCCACAGCGCCACCCGCGTCCAACCTTTTTTACTCTCCAAGGAGCTCAAGGTGGCATACATGGTTCTCTCCGTCCTCATTTAATCCCCACATCAGCCCTGCAAGGCAGGCCAAGTTGAGAGGCAGCGACTGGCCCAAGGCCTCCCAGTGAGCTTCCCTGGTGAGTGGGGATTTGAGCCCTGGTCTCCCAGGTTCTCTTCCGACACTCTAGCCACTACACCACACCGGCTTGCACAAAGCTTATGCAAAGGTCAGACTGCATCCATTTTTATCTGAGCATTTGTTTTCCTTTTTTTACTACAGCGAGCATTCGCCCTGCATTTATTTTATTTGATCAAGCAATTTATGTACCACATAACTGCAACAATCTCTACGCAGTTTACACAGAATAAAAATTAAAACTATAAAATCAGACTTCAATTAAAATGCCTGCTGGGAGAAAAGAAAAGTATTCCATAGGCACTGGTAGTTCAGGAGGGACCTCAACTGGAAAGGAGGCCCTTAAGATTCTTCCTGATTTGCAAGCGGGGCATTTGCAGGTCTTCCCCTTAACCAGTTGTCCATCCCACACTTTTCAGCACATTTCCCTATCACCTTCTTAACCACAATGGTGAATTTGTAGCCCTAGGGCAGGGGTCTGCAACCTTTAAGACAAAAAGAGCCACTTGGACCGAAGAAAAAAAACGGGAGCCACAAAACCATTGCGACATTTAAAACAGTGGGGAGTGTCAGGGCACACAATGCGCCTCCTCCCCTCGCTAGTATCTGCCCCGGAGCCGCAGCAAAGGTGTAAAAGAGCCACATGCGGCTCCGGAGCCGCGGGTTGCTGACCCCTGCCCTAGGGCAACGGAGCACTTTAATTCACCTTTAATTGTTCAAACCTAAATTTCCCACTCAATCAGAGCAACTGCCAATGGGGTTTTCTGCAGACCAATGTTTGTTCCTGAGCAAGGGGGCAGGTCTTCGCTGCCTGAGGAATATAACACCCACCTGAGAACATCAACCAAGCCTGTTCGCAGTCCCCTGTCAAACAGTTCATCTGCTTTGAAGATCAGGGGACTAGGCAGACTGGAACTTGTCTCTGGTTGCGCATCCTCTCAGAAGGCCAAGAAGAGAGGACCTTCTCTTCTCCCTCTGTATATCTGTAACACACAAGCCGCCTGAGAGCCTGACTACAGCAAACCAGCTGGATTCGACTTGCCAGAACTGGCATTCTAAGTCTTGAGAGCATTTGGCACTTCTTCCTGTATGCACTTTCTTGCAAGCATATCATTGCTTCAGAAGGACTAGAAACTTGCTGCTTTGAGTTTTTGTGACTGAAAATGGAGATCCTCAGAAACCAGCCTCCAACACTCCTGCAGAATGACAGCATAGGTACAGCTTCCCAGAACCACCTTAGCCTTCCTCTTAGCGGATGTTTTGGCTAATGTTTAAACAGTCACTGCATCGCCCTCCCAACGCCCTCCCCGCCTCCTGCAGTCCTAGTCTCACCTGCTCTAGTCTCTTCTCTTTTTGGTACAGCACCTAACACACTGTTGGCTTTGAATAGGAGCATAAGAAGCTGCTTTTTCCTTAATCAGACCAGTGGGTTCATCTAACCAGTGGCCTCTCCGGACATCCTTTCTATTGTGCATTCATGGTTACTTGTGCTCATGGTGGTACCAGGGCATTAATTTGCACATGGCCCCACTTTCAATACCGCAGAAGTATCGGGCCTGCATTTCCAATCGGCGCACAACCCATAACTCCCCATGAAAACTTGCAGCTTTTTATATCACTGAATGATCTACGGCTGTTGTTTTTAATCCCGCTTTACTTCCACAATAGCACAAGAGTGCCTCCTCCAAACAAGAAGAATGCGCTAACACTGGAGAAGCACAACAGAACAACTATTAAAGCAGAACGATGTCTGTATGGTCCAGTATAAATCCGCCACTAATGGACTATGCATATTGCAGAGTACACAATAAAATAGATGGCTGGTGGGGTCCAAAGACACTCCGGTCAGCCCAGGCTGGCACCCTCCTCTGTAAGCTCCTGCTGTTTGAGCTTGGCTGCCAGGGAGGTGAGGCATTGGACTCAAAATCTCTAATTCCATCTGGCTAAGCTGTAGTTGTCTCCTAGCAGAGCTTTTGCAAAAAGCTGACTACCAGCAAAGGAGAGAAGGGCCTTGCTGGCTTGTTCCAAAAACAATATGTTGGGACAGAGACCCTGGCCTGAGGCTGCTGCTGCCTCTGCACTGGCCGCCCCTGTATTCCCACAAGACCATCCATCACAGAGCCGTGCGCGGTGGGTGGCAACAAAGAGACGTTCCGAGCCAACGTGCCGAGACCAGGAGCTCCTCTGCTTCCCAGACCGGAGGAGAGGCAGGCGAAAAGAGTTCAAGGCTGCAGCCTGATAAGTCTCTTGCTGAGGAAGCTCCCCGCTAAGGCTGCATTCCAGGCTGTCCTCACAAACTGTTAGCAAGGAAGGCATGGAGTGAAGCTGGATGGGAATTTGTACTCAAGGGTGTTCATGGGTGGGTGGGTGGGAGAAGGACAGTCCGATCCCATAGCCTGGTCCTGGTAAGAGCCAGGAAACCTTATATGTGCATCTGCACCAGTCCAAGAGGAAGGTAACTTGAGGACTTCCTGTGAAGCTCAGAGAATATCCCAGCTTTGTGGGCCCGATTGCTGTGTTTTTTCCTAGCCCATGGGCTGAATATGACCATGCAGGTATCTTTATCTAGGCCCCAGGACTCTTCCAGCCTCCATCTCACCTCATCATGCCCTGCTCTAAGCCCTCCTTAAGTGCCTTTTGCCATGGACGATGGAGAGATGGGAGTTTATTGGGTGTAGAATGAATTTGTTTGTTTGTTTGTTTATTACATTATTACAGTTGTAATCTCATAATGCAGAAATCTCTGGTTTTCACATAGATGGAACATGGCCTACCGTACAAAGCTCTGTCCGCTTTCCCCTCTGGCCTTGCCCACTGCTGGCATGTGCCCCATCCCCCAGTAGGTGACCCATAAAGAAATGGGGCCATGGGGCTTAAAAAATCCCGCCACCTCTGGTCTGTAGTTGTTACCCACCCTGGGACTTATGTGAGGCGCAGGAGGACTTGGCCTCAAATATCTAGATGAAAGATGGCCACTTCCTTCCCTGCAGAACCTCTTGGGTTAGTGATCAGCGGGGGTGGTTCTTGGTAATTCCACTGCACTCTGAAACTCAGGGTGGGGGGCCATTCATGCGGAAGCCCCTAAGTTGTGGAACTCTCTCTCCACAGAGGTGGGTCGGACACCTTCGTCAGATAGCTTTTATAATATGCTGAAGACCCTTGTGAGAGAGATATTTTCATGACCCACCCTGTTCCTGTGACTGTCACTTGTTTTAAACTGTATTTAATACTAAATTTTTAAAAATTGGGACCTTATGGTGAAGGGCAGGTAAGAAACCAAAATAATGAGAATCTTTAATAATGCTATCTTTCTGTGGGTTGTATCCAACTAAGTTCTTTTCAGAAGTCGGTGAACCTAAGTGAGTCATGTCTATTAACTTCGGTGGGTCTACTATGAGTAGGACTTGCATTGGATACAACCCTTTTTTCCTTTCTAACTATAAATGCACAAACACAACAGCACTCTCTCTTTCTCCCTCTCATACACAGATACACACTTGCCCATCTTCAGCCTCACTTTTTAAGGAGCTCAAGGCAGTATAAATGGTTCACTTTCCCATTTTTATCGTCATAAGAACTCTCTGAGGTAGGCTAGTCTGAGAGAGCAAAGGGCTGAGGGGAGATATATATTTTTTTGAACCAGTACCTCTTCAGTCTTAGACTTGCCACTCTAACCACTACACCACCCGGCCTCTCCTAATGTCCTTTCCCTGCTAAATGAGGGCACAGTACGAGCACCTAAAAGGCCCCCGGGGAACAAAAGTGGGGTGCAGAGCACCAAGGAAAAACCACCAGGGCGAAGTTGCCGGCAAGAGAATCTCACACTCGCCGCGCCATTCAGCTTGTCATCTTGACACGCTCCTCTGATTTAGCGTCGAACACAAGCAATTAAAACAGCCCTGCAGTTAAAACCATGGAGGCAAGAAGGGGGTGGGTGGGATTTTGGCTGGTGGAGAAAGAAATGAGGGGAATTTAGAATGGGGCACTTGTTCTCCCTGGAGGTAATCCTTCGGGTGAAATGAGTTCCCACAGACAACTCAAATGCGGGCGGCGGGTGGGAAGGGGGAGAGGGGCCTGGAAATAACAGGGACCTCTCTCCTCATCCGACTGCAAATCGTGTCAAGTTTGTAGAAAACAAAGCGGCCTTCCTCCTCTTCCTCCTTCCAAGAGCTGGTTGAAGTATT